TGTGAGAATTTCGGGGTCCAACAACTTCCTATCAGCCTACTCCTTGTTCCCTTTGCCTTTCAAACCTGCCGGTAACCAAGGCAATGGAGCCTTCCCAAGGCAAACTTGGAAGTGTGTCCCCACACAACTCGGTCTTTAGTTTGGCTCAAGTAAATGCTTATTTTTTATTTTTATTTTTTGAGAAAGAGTTTCACTTTATTCCCAGTTTGGAGTGCAGTGGCGTAATTTTGGCTCACTGCACCTCCACCTCCCAGGTTTCAAGCTATTGTCCCACCTCAGCCTCCCCGAGTAGCTGGGATTATAAGCATGCACCACCACACTCAGCTGCAACACAGAGAGGTTCTGTCTCAAAAAAAGAAAAAATAAAAATAAAAATTAGAACTAGATAAATGCAACTTCTACTCATTCTAACTAGTATCCTGGGGGTACCTACAAAATATGCTCATGTTGTAACAGCTGTGTTTGAGAAGAGTAATCTGTAAGGCTGGAGGCTGGGGTAGAAAAACTCATTAGGGTCTGAATCATACCACTGACACCCACTGCCGTATATCTTTGTGCTGCTAGACAGGCCTGCTGGCATCCCTCTGGCACGCTATCTTTTGTACAACAAAGCTCCCCTAAGTTGATAGCCCTATATCCAGTTGGCTATGCTTCAAATCCAAATATTTTGAACTCATTCTCACCACACTATTCTCTAATTCCATTCTCTACGTGTTCGATTCCTGGTTTGACACTTACTAGGCGTGTAACCTTGGGTAAGTCACTTAGTCACTGATTTTCAGTCTTATCATGTGAAAATAGACTTGAGAATAGTATATACTCATAGATTTGTTGTGATAATTACATAATGTATTACTTATTAGAGCCGTGACTTTTTTTTTTTTTTTCTTTTGAGACAGAGTCTCACTTATTGACCAGGCTGGAGTGCTGTGGCGCGATCTCAGCTCACTGCCACCTTCACCACCCAGGTTCAAGTGATTCTCGTGCTTCAGCCTCCCTAGTAGCTAGGATTACAGGCGTGTACCACCACACCCGGCTTTTTTATTTTTAGTAGAGAACAGGGTTTCACCATATTGGCCAGGCTTGTGTCTGATTCTTGACCTCAAGTGATCTGTCCGCCTCAGCCTCCCAAAGTGCTAGGGTTACAGGTGTGAGCCACTGCACCCAGCCTAGAGCAATGTTAATTACATGTTTGCTATCACTGTTGTTCCAGTTCTCCTTCCATCCCTACAATATAGGGCCCTGCCCATAACTGAGAACTTCTAACAGAAGTCACATGAAAGGAAGCAGGTTACAGCTCTAATTTCAGTGACATACTAAACTACAAGAACCAAGTAAGTCAAAAGCATAAAAGCTATAACCCATTAAAGCTTTTAGAAAAAAAAATGTTATTTTTAGTCCAAGAGAGACTAATAAAATTCTCCAACTCTATATTCTGAAACCTTTAAATACTTTGAATCAATTTTCTTTTTTTCTTTCTTTTTTTTTTTTTTTTTGAGACGGAGTCTCGCTCTCTGGCCCAGGCTGGAGTGCAGTGGCATGATCTCGGCTCACTGCAAGCTGTGCCTCCCGGGTTCACGCCATTCTCCTGCCTCAGCCTCCCGAGTAGCTGGGACTACAGACGCCCGCCACTATGCCCAGCTAATTCTTTTTGTCTTTTTAGTAGAGACGGGGTTTCACCATGTTAGCCAGGATGGTCTCCATCTCCTGACCTCGTGATCCACCCACCTCAGCCTCAGCCTCCCAAAGTGCTGGGATTACAGGTGTGAGCCACTGTGCCTGGCCACTTTGAATCAATTTTCTAAGCGATCTAATTTCTTTTTCTTATGGGGTTCTAATTCTTCATGACATCAAACAAAAATGCAAAAGAGGAACATGTATAATAAATTAAAGTTTTAAGATTAATTAATTAATGTTGGGGCGTGGTTTTGAGACAGGGTCTTACTCTCTTGTCCAGGCTAGAGTGTAGTAGTATGATCCCAGCTCACTGCAGCCTTGACCTTCTGGGCTCAAGCAATCCTCCCACCTGAGCCTCCCAAGTAGCTGGGAACACAGGTGCACGCCACCATGCTTAGGTTTTTTTTTTTTTTTTTGTAGAAATGGGGTTTTGCCATGTTGCTCAGGTTGGTCTCGAACTTCTGAGCTAAAGCAATCTGCCTGCCTTAGCCTCCCAAAGTGCTGAGATTATAGGCATGAGCCACTGTGCCCAGCTTTATTTTTTATTTTTTTAAGACAGGGTCTTGCTCTGTCACCCAGGCTAGAATGCAGTGGCGCGACCTTGGCTCACAGTCGCCTCAATGTCCTGGGCTCAAGCAATCCTCCCACCTCAGCCTCCCAAGTAGCTGGGACTACAGATGCACGCCACCATGCCCAGCTAGTTTTTTTTTTTGGTTTATTTTTTGTAGAGATGGTCTCACTATGTTGGCCAGGCTGGTCTTGAACTCCTGGGCTAAAGAGATCCTCCTTCCTCAACCTCCCAAAGTGCTGGGATTACAGGCATCAGCCACCACACCCAGCCAAATTGAAGCTTTTGACAAATGTTATGTCTTATCCACCAGAGTAAAAATGGCTATGCACTCTAATTATTTATTTACAAATCTTCATTCTAAAGAAGAAAACACACCTTATCATTGAAGAATATATCTAAGATTGACAGTCCATAATCACTTCGGTCCTCATCATTGGCAACTTCATAGTCTGCCTGATTGGAGAGATGGAAGAAAAGAAAAAGAGAAGTTAAGCTGGCGCCACACATGTGGCGGTGCATACCTGTAGTTCCAGCCACTCTGAGGTTGGGAGGATCACTTGAGTTCAGGAGTTCGAGGCCAACCTGGGCAACATAGCAAGATCCCATCTCTTAAAAAAAGAGAAAGTTAGTTAAGCGTCTTCACTAATAATGTTTCATTACGTTTCAAATTCTTTGGTTTGATATCCTCAGAGCCACAGACCAACTCTACTGATCAAGCGGCTACAGCTCTTCTTTGGGAAAGTCAGGTGTATGAGGGGGAAGAAGTCAGTTTTTTAAAAGAGGTTAATGAAGTTTTAGAGCAATGCTTCCCATAATACTCTGTATATTACACTGCATCCATTAAAGATATCTAAGGACCGGGCACAGTGGCTCACACCTGTAATCCCAGCACTTTCGGAAGCCGAGGCAGGCAGATCATCTGAGGCTGGGAGTTGGAGACCAGCCTGGCAAACATAGTGAAACCCCGTCTCTACTAAAAACACAAAAATTAGCTGGGTGTGTTGGTGGGCACCTGTAATCCCAGATACTCAAGAGGCTGAAGCAGGAAGAATCGCCTGAACCCAGGAGGTGGGGGTTGCAGTGAGCCGAGATCATGCTACTACACTCCAACCTGGGCGACAGAGCGAGACTCAGTCTCAAAAACAAACAAACAAATAAACAAACAAAAAAACAAACTTCAGCACTGGGAGTTCTGGATACTGTGTGGTATGCAATTAACGGAAGAGAAAGCAAGTCTGATCCTGCGACGGTCCTTCACTATGCCAACCGGGCAGGCTATGAGCCCCAATTAGTCAATCAAACACAAATCCAGGTGCTGCTGGGAAGATACTTGCACATGCGATTAAAATCTATAATCAGTTGGCTTCAAGGGAAAGAGATTAGGCCAGATAATCCAGGTGGCTCTCACCTAATCAGCTGAAAGGTGCTAAGAACAGAGACGAATCTTCCTGGAGGAAGAAATTCTGCCTGAGTACAGAGCTTCAGCCCATTTCTGGAGAGTCCTGCCATGCCCCTCCTGACGGCCTGTCCTACAGATTTCAGACTTTCCTAACCAGACCCCACAATTATGTAAGCCAATTCCTTGCAATAAATCTCTTAATATCTCCTCCTATGGGTTCTGGTTTTCTGGTTGAATCCTGACTGACACAGATGCCTTCATTCATTTAATGAGCAAGAAATAGGGCAAACAACCACGCCAGGTGCCATGAGGGCGAAATGAGTAAGACACAGTCCCTTCACCTGAGAAGCTTACAGAGCCTGTCATCACCTATCACCAGGATAGTCAAAGCAGTAAGCGTGACAAAATGGCACAGACATTTCTGAACCTACACAACTGCCATCGAAAAAACAAAAACATAACCTGTAACCGCAGTCACATAGCTGTCACCACATAACTACAGGTATCACGACAATATCAGAAGACTGCAACCTAAAATAGAGTTTCAACAATGCAGTTTAGCTATTTTAACATAAGGAAGAATAGTAGGTCCCTAAATTCTTAAAATACAGCGGCTTGGCAAACATTACCCACTACGTGAAAACCTATACCCTGGGTTCCATCCCCCGAACTGAGTAGGCATGGCCCAGCACGTTGGAACTCTGTCTTCAAAAAGAAGTGGCCAGGCGCAGTGGCTCATGCCTGTAATCCCAGCACTTTGGGAGGCTGAGGTGGGCAGATTACCTGAGGTCAGGAGTTGGCGACTAGCCTGGCCAACATGCAGAAACCCTGTCTCTACTAAAAATACAAAAATTAGTTGGGTGTGGTGGCACATGCCTGTAGTCCTAGCTACTTAGGAGGCTGAGGCAAGAGAATCGCTTGAATCTGGGAGGCGGAGGTTGCAGTGAGCTGCGATCACACCACTGCACTCCAGCCTGGAGGACAAGAGCAAACCTCTGTCTCAAAAAAAAAAAAAGGAAGAAGAAGAATCACCTTATTCTAGCAACAGTGCTAGAAAAGAAAGGACTGGGAGAGATCTGGGGGAAGGAAGCAAACAACAAAACAGCCGCAAATGTTTTTCTGAAAAGAATACATTATAAATATATATTTTAAAGTTGTTAAAAAGCTGTGTTAGAGGAAAATCAAATCCAAATTAAATGATGTAAGACATATAATATATGTCTGCATATAATAAGCACTCAATACATATTTGCTGATAACAATTAGGACAGGCCAAAGCAGAGAGAGGAAGGGTCATAACCCTGGTACAAAAGTGAGAGCTTTTCTGCTAAATTCCAGCAATTTTTGATTGGTCGCTTGCTTCTGAATTTCATAGTTTTGAAATTGTAGGCTTGCCAATGGTACCCATAAAGATTTAGAAACATAAAGTTTCTTTACCTATAAGGAAATCACAGTAAATCTCAAACACGATACATGAGAATGTTGGAAACTTTATTGAGCATAGTAAATTCCATCCAAAGTGATCATTCTTCTTACACAAACTTTATCCCTCCCATATGCTTCTGGGTTAAAACGTTTTTAAGTTAAGAGCATTGGCCAGTTGAGTGCAGAAAGGACACTTTTCAGGTGGCGAAACAAGCATTATCATCTTAGGGCTAGGCGCAGTGGCTTATGCCTGTAATCCCAGCACTTTGAGAGGCCAAGGCAGGCGGATCACAAAGCTGAGGCAGGAGAATTGCTTGAACCCGGGAGGCAGAGGTTGCAGTGAGCCAAGATCACGCCACTGCACTCCAGCCTGGGCAACAGAGAGAGACTCCATCACAAAAAAAATAATAAAAATTAAAAAAGCATTATCTTATTTAGTCTGTCATCTTCATACAATTAAAGCCTCAAGTTTCAAAGTCATTCAATGACTACATGTGATGCTCCAAAACTTGAGATGTAATTCTACATAAAATACCACTTTAGACTAAAGGGATTTCTGTCTTAAGAAGACAGTGTGACACCAAGACAACTAGTCCTTCCACTCCTACATCATTGCCCAGGTCTAGTTTTTACATTTTCCTTTTTTTTTTTTTGGGACAGAGTCTTGCTCTGTCATCCAGGCTGGAGTACAGTGGCACAATCTCAGCTCACTGCAACCTCTGCCTCCTGGTTCAAGTGATTCCCCTGCCTCAGCCTCCCAAGTAGCTGGGACTACAGGCACCTGCCACCACGCCTGGCTAATTTTTTTTTATTTTAGTAGAGAAGGGGTTTCACTATGTTGGTCAGATGGTCTTGATCTCCTGACCTCGTGATCCACCCACCTCAGCCTCCCAAAGTGCTGGGATTACAGGCGTGAGCTACCGTGCCCGGCCAGTTTTTACATTTTCAAAAGCACAAGATTGGGTGGGTTGCTCAGTATGGAGATAAACTGCTTACCACTGCATCCAAGAATTCAATGTGCCTCTTTAGAGTGGGTTTGGTATCACAGAACTGCCTGAAGAGAAGTCTTCCTATCGGTTGCTTGTCACAAAGACTGTTATATTCCCTTTCTGGGTGAAGAAAAGGGATAAGAAGCAAACAAACATAATCATTACAATCCACCACATGCTGTTCTAAGCCTGTTTTCACTTGATAAAATAAAAGTCAAAAACAGTATTTGCAGTATTATTTTCTTCTTTTTTGTTGTTGTTGTTTTGTGGTTTTTTTTGTTTTTGAAACAGTCTCCTTCCTCTGTTGCCCAGGCTGGAACGCAGTGGTACAATCTCAACTCACTGCAACCTCTACCTCCTGGGTTCAGGCAATTCTCCTGCTTATCTGTTAAGCATCTAATATCTAGAATATATAAAGAAATCTTATAAGAAATCTTATACCTCAACAACAAAAAGACAATTCAATTTTTAAAATGGATAAAAGATGTGAACAGACATTTCTCTAAAGGTTTATAAATGGCCCATAAGCACATGAAAATATGCTCAACATCATTAATCATTAGAAAAATGCAAATCAAAACACAATAAGATACTTCACACCCACTAGGATTAGAGAAAATGAAAAATAAAGAGGAAAATAAAAAGCGGTGGGAAGGATGTGAAGTAACTGACCACATCCTAGTGGGAATGTAACATGGGGCAGCAGTTTGGAAGAAGAATCTGGTATTCCTCAAAAAGTTAAACACAGAACTACCCTATGATTCTACTTCTTTTTTTTTTTTTTTTTTTTGGTCATCCAGGCTGGAGTGCAGTGGCACAATCTCAGCTCGCTGCAACCTCCCCCTCCTGGGTTCAAGCAATTCTCATGCCTCAACCTCCTGAGTACCTTGGATTACACGCGCATGCCTCCACGTCCAGGTAATTTTTGTATTTTTAGTAAAGATGTGATTTCACTATGTTGGCCAGGCTGGTTTTGAACTCCTGACACCTGCTTTGGCTTTCCAAAATGCTGGGATTACAGGCATGAGCCATCGCGCCCAACCCAATTTTTGTAATTTTAGTAGAAACAGGGTTTCACCATGTTGGCCAGGCTAGTCTCAAACTCCTGACCTCAAGTGATCCGCCCACCTCGGCCTCCCAAATTGCTGGGATTATAGGTGTGAGCCGCTGTGCCCGGCCAACAATTCTGCTTCTGAATACATACACAAAACAAGTAAAAGCAGGGACTCAAACAGATATTTGCACACCAATGTTCCTAGCAACGCTATTCACACAGCCAAAAACTTAGAACACCCAATGTCCATCAACAGATGAACAGATAAGCAAAATGTGGTATATCCATGCAATATCCAACTCAACGCCACTGAACTGTACACTTAACAGTAATTTTTGTTATGTATATTTTATCATGATTTTTAAAAGCCTAGCACATGAATTTTCATAGCAGCATTATTCATAATAGGCAAGAGTAGAAAACAACTCCAATGTCTATCAACTGATAAATGGCTAAATAAAATGTGATATATCCATATAATGGAATATTATTCACCAACAAAAAAAGAATGAAGTACTTTAACAACATTATGCTACGTAAAAGACCACGTAGTATATGCTTCCCCTTTATATGAAATGTCCAGAACAGGCAAAGACATAGACAGAAAGTGGATCTGTGGTTGTCTAGCTCTGGAGGGAGCAGGACGGAGTGAGGAGTGGCTACCAATGGGTGTGGCATTTCTTTTTGGGGTGCTGCAAATGCTGTCAAATTGATTATGGTGGTTTCACAACTCAATATATTAAAAACTACTGAACTATATACTTTAAATGGATAAGTTGTACGGCATATGAATTATATCTTCAAGAAGCAGTTATTTTAAAAACTTGGTGGAGTTAAAACAATGGTGGAGTTAAAACAATGAGGGAAATACTAGCTCCTTTATACCACCAGAAACTAATCTTGATAAATAAAATACTTCATCTTTCTTTAAGAGGAACTACAAGAGTACTAAAGGAAAGATGGATTGGTTTGTAAAAATCATCTTGGAATAAACGTGTCCTTCCTACAGATAACACAAAGCTCAGAATCTAAGAAGGAAAATACTGATACATTTGTCTCTATGAAATATTAAAACCTCTGTATGAAAAAAAGACACTGTACACCAAAGGGAAAAAAGCAAAATTATAAATATATTCACATTGGATATAAAATGATAACTCCTTTTATATATAAACAGCTTTTATAAATGAATTAGAAAAGAAAAAGGAGGCTGGGCGCGGTGGCTCATGCCTATAATCTCAGCACTTTGGGAGGAAGAGGCAGGCAGATTACCTGAGGTCAGGGGTTCGAGACCAGCCTGGCCAACATGGGGAAACCCCGTCTCTACTAAAAACACAAAAATTAGCCAGGCGTGGTGGTATGTGCCTGTAGTCCCAGCTACTCCGGAGGCTGAGGCAGGAGAACTGCTTGAACTGGGAGGCGGAAGCTGCAGTGAACTGAGACCTCGCCACTGCACTCTAGCCTGGAGTGCTGAGACTCTGTCTCCAAAAAAAAAAAAAAAGAAAAGAAAAGAAAAGAAAGAAAGAAAAGAGAAAGGAAAAATTGAAAAAATCCAATGGAAATGTTCTACCCCATCCATAAGAAACCATTTTTCAAATAACAGTTTAGTAAATATTAAAAATACTGATAACAACCAGTATTAGCAAAAGCATGGCAAAGAAAGCTTGCTACATACTGTTGGCAGAACGGTAAACTGATACAATCTTTTGGTGGGGGTGATTTAGCAACATCAAAAGTTTAAATGCATGTACCCTTTGAACTGAAAATTCTATCTTTAAAAAATACGGTTATGACTGCTCTATAGAGATGATTCTACATCTGACTTCTTAGGCTCATGTTAGGACCTGTAGCTAACTCTCATTCTTTATAGTTGCAGAGTATTCTGTTATACTGATATACTGTATTTTTATTTGACTAATCCTTTCCTGAAGATCAATAGAAACTTTTCTTGTCTTTTTTCTTTCTTTCCCTCTTTTTTTTCCCCTCCTCGAGACAGGTCTCACTATGTTGCCCAGGTTGGATTCAACCTCTTGGGCTCAAGGGATCCTCCTGCCTCAGTCTCCCAAGTAGCTGCGACTACAGGTATTTGCCACCATGCCTGGCCCAATATTTTTTAAAAACATGCATAGAAAACTGTCTGGAAGGCTACTAAACAATACTTAACAGTGTTTCTTCTGGAGACAATAATCGACCGGGTCGTGGGAAGAGGAATTTTTACTTTTTCTTCAGTTATGTATAGAACAATGAGTATACGTATTACTTTTTTTTTTTTTTTTTTTTTTTGAGACGGAGTCTCGCTCTGTCGCCCGGGCTGGAGTGCAGTGGCCGGATCTCAGCTCACTGCAAGCTCCGCCTCCCGGGTTCCCGCCGTTCTCCTGCCTCAGCCTCCCGAGTAGCTGGGACTACAGGCGCCCCCCACCTCGCCCAGCTAATTTCCAGGATGGTCTCGATCTCCTGACCTCGTGATCCACCCGTCTCGGCCTCCCAAAGTGCTGGGATTACAGGCTTGAGCCACCGCGCCCGGCCACACGTATTACTTTTAAAAAATGTTTTTAATGTGGGCCAGGCACAGTGGCTCAGGCCTGTAATTCCAGTACTTTGGGAGGCCGGTGGGGGCAGATTGCTTGAGCTCAGGAGTTTAAGACCAGTCTGGGCAACATGGTGAGACCCTACCTCTCCAAAAAAAAAAAAAAAAAAGTTCTTAATGAAAAAAACCAACAGCCAACTTTATAACTGCAGATCAGAAAATCTAAAGGTTTTTCTTTCCTGAGAGGAGTAATGAAGATATAAGGAGAATTTATCATAAAACGTTTGAAACAAATACGGAATAACGTATTCCGTATTTGTTTTCAATATTCTCAAGAAAGAATAACATCTAACGAATGGTATAATGCCAGATGTATCATTCAGGCATAAGTAGGCACTATTTACTCACCAATGGAATGTCTGAGCTCACTGCACTGGCTGACAGGAGGCAGCGTCAATATCTCCCTCCATTTTTTACTACGACCACTTTTTTTACCATATCCTCCTGAATTTGGGAGAAAAAGGCAATTTTTTTTTAAGTCAGAAATATCTAAGTATAACAACTACTTCCACTAATAGATCTTATCATTTCTGTTTGAGCGGTTTGGGTACCTACGATGAGTAAAAATACATGCTTATAATGATGTGTCTTATCTGGAAAGCTGCTTGATGAAGTATAAAATTCCCAGGTGATGAAATCTGTCACTGGGTCTGCCATTTAGAAGCCACGGTGAGCCTCAGTTTCCAAATATGTAAACTAGATCTAACATGACATATTGCTCAGGGTTGCTTACAAATATTTATCAAAGAAATATTTACTGAGCATCTACTATGTACCAAACACCTTCAAAGCACTGGGAATACGACAATAAAAAAACCAAGTCCCTCCCTCACATTCTTAGTGAGGGAGTGATGGTTTGGCTCTGTGTCCCCACCCAAATCTCATCTCAAATTATAATACCCACATGTCAAGGGAGGGACCTGGTGGGAGTCCTGTGATTGGATTGTGGGGACGGATTCCCCATGCTGTTCCCGTGATAATGAGGGAGATATCACCAGATCTGATGGTTTTAAAAGTGGCAGTTTCCCCTGCCACCATGTAAGACATGCCTTGCTTCCCCTTTGCTTTCTACCATGACTGTAAGTTTCCTGGGGCCTCTCCAGCCATGCAGAACTGTGAGTCAATTAAACCTCTTTGGTTTATAAATTACCCAGTCTCAGGTAGTATCTTCAGAGCAGTGTGAAAATGGACTAATGCAGGGAGAGAGATGCACACATCATATAATAAGAGATCAGAAAAAAATAGCTAATCGTATAGTGATAAATACGAAACGAAATCAAGCAGGGTAAAGGTGGAAGGTGCTGTTTTAACTAAGGTAGGATCAGAGAAGACCTCTCTACCAGGGTCACATTTAGGCAGAGGCCTGAAGGATGTGAGGGACAGAGTCTTGGCAAGTGCTGGGAGAAGAGCATCCCACGGCGAAACAAGAACAGTGGAAAAAGCTACACTATAATACTCCAGAAAGATCTTTTAAACAAG